TTTGTAAGGGATATTGATGTATAATTATCTTTTCTGTCTATAGTGTCGTTGTCTGATTTAGGTTTCTGCGTTAGTCTTTATTCAATGTGTTTGATAGTGTTATTTTCTCTTTTATTTTTTGAGAGAACTACCTGGTTCTGGGCTTTAAAAAAGATATCTTCAATTTCTTATTATATGATGAGTCTTCTTTGGGCCTTTAAAAAATGTTCACCTTTAGTTTAGCCTGTCAATCAGGTCACAACTTGATGACCTCATTTAGAGGGGCTAAGGAGACAAATAGCTCACTGGAGGCAGGATGCAGGCTCACTCCTTGGGAGACATTGGAGCTGACAAGACACATGGAGCTAAGCTAGTGCCCTGAGCTGGAGGAGCCACATGGAGACCCCTGCCAGTGCTGAGATGCTTATAATGCCACTGGATCCATAAGACTTCCCACCCACTGGCCTGTGATCTGTCTGCAGTCTTGTGTCATTGCATGTGTTGGGTGAGTCTGAGGAGGACTTTGTAGATTGATATTGGATATATGGACTAGTATTGGACCTTATGGACTTGATCTGGACTGGGCTGGGACATTTTCTCAATGTACAATTGCTCGTGTATATAAAGCTCTTTCTTACACACACACACACACACACACACACACACACACACAATGTCCACCTTTGCCTGTGTAAGTTTGAGCAGAGGGCGTGTTCCTAGGAGTTTGTCCATGTTGTCTAGGTTGTCAAATTTGCCAGAGCGAAGTTTTTCATAGTAATCTGTTGTGTCCTCTCACTTCATTGGCTCTGTTGTAATGTCACCAACATAATTTCTTAATTTAGTTATTTTCCTTTTGTGGTTTTTTTTTGTATTTTTTTTTCTGTTGTCTCCCTCTCGTCAACTTCACCAATGATTTGTCCATTTTATTGATCCTTTCAAAGAACCAACTTCTGATTTTGTTGATGTTTTCTGTTACTTCTCTATTTCCTTTATGTTGGCCATGATTTTTGTTATTTCCTTTTACTGGTAGCTTTTGGCTTCTTTGGCTCTCTCTTTTCTATTTTTTCAAATTATCAGGTGAAATCAATGATTTAGGATCTTTCTTCTTTTTAAATGTAGGCATTTATTGCTATGCATTTCTCTCTGACCACTGCTTTTACTCTTTTCCAATGGTTTGATACGTGGTGTTTATTTGATGGAAGGAAAATTTAAATTTCACGTTTGGTTTCTGTTATGAACCAATATAAATTTTATTTAGCTTCTGTATGTATTTTTCCTGTCAGTATCTAATTTCAGACCATCATAATCAGAGAACATCCTTTGTATGAGTTCAGTCTTTTTAAAGTTGTTGAAGCTTGTGTCTTAGCGTATGGTCCATTCTGGAAAAGGTTCATGTGTGCTAGAGAAGAAGATATATTGCAATGATGCTGGGTGGACTGTGCATAATACGACTGTTAGGTCCAATTGGTTTAAGGTTTTGTTCAAGTTTTCAGTGGTCTTCTTTTTAGATGTTCTCTCTATAATTGAAAGTGATGTGTTGAAGTTCCCTATTATTATAAGGATAAATTGTCTGTTTCTCCTTTCACTTGCAAAGCTGGTGTGGTAATTCAAATTTCCAGAGCTTCTCTTTGCTTGGGAATGTCTTGATTTCCCCAGTGTTTTGACAAATTTGCTGGGTAAAGAATTTTGTGTTGGTGATTGTTTTCATTAACTATTGTATATATTTCTCTATTGTCTTCTGGCCTCTAGAACTTCTGAAAAGTCCACACTGATTTTTTATGCACTGATTATGTTGCATTTGTCTCTTGTTACTTTCAGAATTCTCTCCTTGTCTTTTCTTTTTTTGTTTCCCTCTTGTCTTTTCTATTCAAGAATTTTACTCTAACTGGTGTTCAAGTAGCTTCCTGGATTCTCTGTTCAAGTCTGGGAAATTCTCTATAATTATTTCCTGAAAAATATTTTTCTCCCTTTGTTGTTGTACTCTGGAATTCAAGTACGTAATTCTAATATAAGACTTTTAAAATTTAATCACATATTTACATCTGGGCTTGTTCTTTTCTCCTGTTTCTCTGGAGAATTGGTAAATTCCATTATTTGGACTTCTAGTTCATTTATTCTGTCATCTGTCTATTCAATTCTGTTGATGAGTGGTACTCTTGCTTTTAATAATTAATTGCCTTTATTCTTCAGTTCAGAAATTCTTTCTTTGTTGTTTTCAATTTCGTTTCTTTTTCATTTTTCTTATTGAGTCTCACTTTGTTCCTCCATTTGTTTCCTGATCCCCTCTAGTTTGTTTTTGAACATTTTTGTTTTCTTTAAATATATTTAACATCATAATCTGAAGATTTAGTTTGTTCTATTACTCTGGTCCCCATAGGAGAAATTTCCTCATTTCATGTTTGCTTTTGATGGCTATTTCTTCTGTGATTTTGTGTTTTACTGCTTTTTGTCAAGCCTGGGCTATTTGTTTTCTTTTTACATTAAATTTCACATTCTCGTTCCTGTGTGAAATATTTCTGATTGAGTATCCTGGTGACACAGCCACCAAGTACCCAGCTGCCACCAAAAAGCAGGCTGTACACTAATTAGCTGCTCCACATAAGAAAGATACAGCAACCTGCCCTTGCAAAGGCTCAAAGCCATGGAAATCCCACGGAGAAGCTACATTCTGACCCACAAGACCAACTCAGCATCGGGGGACCTGTTACCCTCTGACAACCACTGAAAGACACTCTTTCCTTGGATGTTTTTGTTGTGGTGGTTGTTGTTTTTCATTCAGGAGTTCTGGAGCTTGATCTATGGAATTCAATAAGCATGCATTGTGGGATGGATGAAGTAAATAGCAGATTTCAGACATCAACACAAGCAGCATTGGGGCTCAACTCTCCTGTAGTAATGGTGGGTGACTTTATGTCTTTTCATCATCAATACCACTGAACAGGCTCTCCTATAATGTCCTGCCATGGGCAAGAACTCAGCCATTTCCTTCTGTCTTGTCTGTGCATATGAAACATTCCCCACACCCTGCTGCCTTTCAGTTCTTTCTGGTCCCAGTTGCATCAAGAAGATTCAACAGCATTCTCTTAGAGCACCATGGTCTTTCTGTGCGACTTCTAATTGCACAACCCATGAATTCCTATGCCCAATCTTTGCTGCCTTACAACATTCTGCTTCAGCTCCCTCAGAGTAGTTCGCTCTCTGTGGCCCCTGTTTACGGTGTTACCCAGCTCTCTACCAAAACGCCTGTCCCTATGTTGTCCCTGCTCTTCCTCTTCCCTGCTGCTGCGATCACAGCGGCTTGCCAACCCCACAGCTGACGTACAGAGCTCTGAGACCTCAGTCTGTGCTTGCTCTTACCCAGTGTTCAATAGTTTGTATGCTGAGAGAGGAAATCAGAGCTTCGTCTCATTTTTGCCACCTCATTCCCTTTTCCAATTGTAAGCTCATAACATCACCCCAACTTTCTATTGAGGGATCTTAAATGCAGAAAGTTAAGTCACAAAGATGAAATAAGACCTGAATCAGGATTTCTGGATCTAGTATTTCTAATTTGAGCTTTTTTACTATCAATGAATTAAATTTGAATTTTCAAATTTCTAAGTGCAGTTTTACTACTTTTATGATATACAATCTTGGTCAAAATAATTGCTACAATGTACATATGTATATATATTAAAATATTAATATATAACAATAGGGATATAGGTCAATATACATATATTTGTAGGTTAAGTATTAAGGTAGGAGACGGGCATTGGCCTCTACTCAAATCCTCCTCCCTCAATGCAAGAATGCTTTGTTCTAATAACCTGGAATTCTGTGATGCTCACCTCCCTGACACAATCGCTGAAGACAAAATTGATTCATAAGCTAATGTGGTGAAGAAAGCTGATGATTCCCGGCTATCAAAAGGTATAGAGTCTGGGGTCTTAAAGTCTTGAGTTAATAAAGTAGCCATCTAGTAGGGAAGCAATAAAGCCCACATGGAAGAAGTACACCAGCCTGTGTGATCACAAGATGTCCATGGGATCAGGGACCAGGCATTAAAAGACCCCAAACAACCATTTCAATGCAAACAAAGGGGGTCAGAATGGAGACCCAAACCCCATCTGCAGACAATTGGACATCCCCTCACAGAAGGGTCACAAGGAAGAGATGAGCCAGCCAGGGTACAGTATAACACCGACAAAATACCCAACATTCCTATATTTCTTTAAACCCCCTCCCCATTATCATAACCCAGTTTTATCTTATAAATCTGGCTAGACCAAAGCATGTACACTGGTACAGATAAGCGCTCTCAATACACAGAATCCAGGACAGGTAAACCCCTCAGTACCAATAATGAGAGTAGGGATACCGTGAAGGTAGGGGGAAGGTAAGGGGAGAAGGGAGAGGAAGGGGGAGCCGATCGCAATGATCAGCATACACTTCCCCCCACCAGGGGGATGAACAACACAAATGCATGAAGGGAGACAGCAGACAGTGTAAAATATGAAGACAAATACAATTTATAAATTATCGAGGGTTCATGAGGGTGGGATGGTGGAGTAGGGTGGGGAAAAAAAGAGGAGCTGATATCAAGGGCTCAAATAGCAAGAAAATGTTTCTTAAATGATGATGGCATCATATGTATGAATGTGCTTGACACAATTGATATATGGATTGTTATATAATTAATTTTTTAATTGCTACAAATGACAATTTCTTAATTTGTAAAATGGGGAAAATAATGACACCAGCAAAGAGCTGTTATATTCATTGTGTCATTTGGTGCCTACAACCGATTTATAAGATATTAACATTACATCCACTTTTCTGTTGACAGAATCAAAATGTAGCAACAACTAATGTATGGATTTTCTTTTCATAAAACAATATGTGTAAAAAGAGGTCAGAAACTTGAGAACAAGAAAGCCTCCGAATCTACCTCAGGACCCAAACCTGGAGCCTTAGGCATGAATCAGCTCCTCTGCCTCTGCCATTGACGTTTCCCACCCCACTCTTTCATCCATCCATACCTGTCTGTGCACACACAAAGCCTTCACATCGCACTTGACTTCGGCACGGTCGGCTGGTAACGCAGTCTTCTGCTTCCTTGTCAGAAGAGTCGCATGGTTCCCCATAGAACTGAGATGGCCGGAGCAAGTAGGTGTGCCTGTACTGTAGTAGAAGGGAGCCACGCAGAAAAACTCTATTATGGTTGCAGAACAAAGCACCCACTACCCACTTGTTACCTCTACTCATCAATTGGCTCATTGGCTAATCCCAGAACCTGTGAATATTTACTTTACATAGTAAAATGGACTTTGCAGATGTGATTGCATTAAGGGTTTTGAGATGGGGTGATTTCCTCGATTATCCAAGTGGGTCCAATATAAGCGCAGGGACCATTAGAGTTGAGGGTGCTCTATTCACATGGCTCCCTAAGCTTAGATTTCTGCTTCAGGCAGAACATTGTACTGTCTGCTTTCTAACGCGGCCTCCCTCATGTTTCCCTTATCTCATGAATTTAACAATTTGCTTTGTGATGGACTATTTACCTTTAAAACTAGACTAACCTCTCTGAGGGCAGAGGTCTGTTTTTGACCTCACTCTACAAATAATAACCAGAAATGATTTGCTTAATGTGAAAAAACCAGAGAGTTTAGAACTAAAAGTTGGTAGACACGTACCTGTAACCAGTTCAATGGGTTGATTTAAATATTCTCGGTTAGTCGTTAAATCAATCAATATATTAGAAATGAAAAACGTGTGCTTTGGGACCAAAATTGACTCCGACACTTCCTCCCTCCAAACAAACTCAGTGCCCTCATGGCGAAGGCCACTCATGTGACCCTGGAGCCTAGAGTAGTGCTCCCTCTGTGGGTTTCTGAGACTCCAAGTCTGGATCCTGCTTATTTTGAAATGCCGACCTTGCAGTTAGGAGCCTAATGCATAACTCATCACACCACCAGGTCTCCACTATGTGAGATTAGATGAGCGAATTAACCATTTAAATCTCAATTTACTCATCTGTAAAACTGAGAGAAGGAAATAGGTAAATGTTTGATTATGGCGATTAAATCAGATAGGTATAAAGAATCCAGTATATCATTGGATTACATAGTAGGCACTCAATTTCATCTACTTATTTTTCTTTTTTATCATGAATGATTTCCAAGTAATCAATATTTCTATATTGCTGCCTTTTTTCTCATTTATTCTAAAACTATTGATTCAATGTGCTGGGCACTCAATAATGGAAAAGGTAGGTGTTGTTTTGTGTTTTGTTTCATTTTTCACTGTAATCATGCCCTCCAGCCTTCCTCAGGAAGGTCAAAGTGGTGGTAGTCGTGATGGGCGCCCAGCAATCACAGCACAGTGTGATGATGCTATGAGGAAAAGGAAGAAGTTTCCAGGGACATCCCCGATTCAAACTCAGGAGAAGGAGGAAAGCTTCTGGAAGAAGTGGCATGTAAACTGAAACCCGAAGCTGAGTGGGAGTGTCAAGTCAACATGGAGCGTTAGCATAAGGAGGGGAGAAAGAGCAACTGTGTGAAAGAAACTACTGAGCCAAAGCTGTGAGATGGCAGAGCATGTACCTTGTTTATGAAAACAGAAAGCGACTCATCGTGGCTGGAGGGAAGAGTTCAAGGGGGAGACCCGTGAGTCTGGAGGGACACACAGCAGGCAATACCTGTACAGTCCAATTTGGCATTTTATCCTTTGGCTATGAGAAGTCACTGAAGAGTTTTAAACAGAGAAGAGAAGTGATTGCATTTGGGTGGTTTCCAAATGCTAGTTGTAGTTAAGATGTTGGCACTCCAAGAGTCAAAGTAGGACAGGGGCCCTTTTTGCCGAAGGACACAGCCAGAGTTATTCCTGGTGTGGCAGCTGTGCTCATAGTTTTGGACGTCCAAGAAAGAAATGCAAGTAACAATTCATCATGCTTCTTTGGACTTCCAGAGGGTCTTTCTTCCTGCATGGCAGAGCCTGGCAGGACAGGGATAGAGTCTGCAAACCACAGACCGCGAGGAAACTAGCCCTTCTGAAGACAGCCCCAGTTTAAGGAATATACACAGGGTGGAAAAACCCATCTCCAAAGAGGAGTTCAAAGGTTTTAGCTGTTTTTTAACCTCTAGCCATGACCCTGCAGAGAGTAGTGCCAAGCTGATATCTACGCTGAGTGAGGTGGCTGGCTGGCTGGCTGGCTGGCTGATTCATGCTGAGTCTTCCTGGTTTATGGTGCAGGTGAAGCAATTATCCAGATAATTGGATCAATGCTGATAATTTCAGCAATAAAGCCTGCTTTGGGAACTGAATAATCCTGCTTGGCTCTCTACATTGATCCAATTAACTGTGTAATTGTCCTGGGCCTACTTCCACAGCCTCTTTAGAATCCTCCTCCAGAACTGGTTTGGTTTCTCAAGGAGCTGGAGAAATGACAACCTTATTAACAGAGCTGGGATTCTGATTCCATCTTCTTAGGCTAAAATTCTAAAGGGCAAATACTGCAGACATGGTATTGTTTTATCTATAGAAAACTAGGAAGTAGCTGGTGGCCTATTAATTTTTTAATGCTGTTTCTGGAGTCATTGTTTACCTATCAGCCCAGTGAAAGGAGTAACAGTGATCATAACTTCTTATAGAGATGTCCTACATATGTAATGAAACTTAAACATATTTTAATGGTGTACATACTACTGACTTACAAAATGAAAATACAGAATTTAATACACCTTCAAGAGTTCACTATAAAGACAGGCTGGTTACCACCATGTAGTGGATTACACAGTAGGCTGCAAGCCAAAAGATCGATGGTACGAACCCACCAGCCACTCTGCAGGACAAAGATAAGACTTTCTGCTCTTGTGAAGATTTACAGTCTCATAAACCCTAGAAAGTAGTTCTGCTCTCTCCTCAAGGGTCATTATGAGTCAGACAGAATCACTTTGATGACAGTGGTTTTGGTCTTGGTGGGTTTGGTATAGGATAATAAATGGTAGGATACAGGGTCAATAAGGAGTTACTGCATGTTATTAAAAGGTATATTTTTGAACTGAAATTGGGATTAAGTAGGAGTCAAGGAAGGCTTCTTAACAGAAGAGGTATTTGAGTAGATTTTCAAAAGGAAGCAGCAGGTACGAATGCCCAAAGAATCACGGAAAGTGAAATGATTAAGGTAATGCAACTAATCAATATGACTGGAATAGGAGATATGTAATGGAGATATAAATCGGGTCTAGGTCATGGTAGGCCTTGAATACCATGAGTTTGGGTTTTGTCCTATGGGAAAGCTGGGGAAAGACAGACTAGATGGAATTTTAAAAACAGCTTATGAAAAATGAATTGTATCAAGAAAGATGGGTTGAAAGAGCAAGGGTGCAGTCAGGCAGTCAAATTAGGGAGCTACTAGAGTGAGCAAGAACAGACATGCTCTAGCCAAAAGAAAGGATCTAATTGCTACTGGGAAGCACAGAGGCGAATGATTAATCGATTGAGTCAATCAACATTTATCAAGGGCCTACCCTGGCAGTATAAATGTTTCAGCCAATCTTGCTGAAGATCACAGCTTCTGGAAGCTGCGAGCGCAGCCCCAGGGTACTTACCCTTTTCTTCTGGCAGGGATCACAAGGGGTCCAGGAGGACCAGCTGGACAGTTTGCAGTCAATGGGCATCAAGGTGCCATCCACACTGCGTGCCTGTCTGCTCTTGGCAAGGCTCTCATTGATTGCCTTTGACCCAAGTGAATGTGATCGTTCACCTCTGCAAACGAATTGTGAGAGGAGAGAATCAGGTATCAGAAAGAAATTAAGGGATCATCTAACATCTATGCATCCATTAAATATAAACATATTGATCATTAGTCTAAGGCTATTCGTTTCTCATTCAATATTGATTAATTTATCCAAAAATACACGTGGCACACTGAGAAAGCGCCTGACACTATGGCCAACTGGGGTCAAAAGAGAGCTGCACATGGACCAGAAGGCAGTCCATTAGCAGTGGAGTGATCTTGCTCTGATTTTTAGTCTCTATGAGTTTCACCAAACTCATTGCCATTGAGTCGATCACAACTCATAGAGATCCTCTAAGGCAAGGTAGAACTGCACCTGTGGGTTTCCTACGGTGTAACTCTACAGAAATAGAAATCCTCATCTTTCTTCCTCGGCGCAGCTGGTGGTTTTGAACTGCTGACCTTGGGATTAGCAGCCCTACGTATAGCCACTATGCCATATGAAGAAGAATGCAGTATCAGGATTGGCAGAAGTCTTATTTACAACTTGCAATGTGCAATGGCACATTTCTTGCTGAACACATGTTGATGAAGATCACGGACCGTAGCCTTCAGTGTGGATTACAACTCAATGTAAAGAAAACCAAAATCCCCACAACTGGACAAACACTTAACATCATGATAAAAAGAGAGGCGATTGAAGTTGTCGAGGCTTTTGTTTGGTTTGGATCCACAATCAATGTCCAAGGAAGCAGCAATCAAGACATCAATCGACATATTGCACTGGATAAATCTGTGCAGAAGACCTTTTGAAAGTGTTGAAAATCAAGGATGCTACTTTGAGGACCAAGGTATACCTTACTAAGCCATGGTATTTTCAGTTGCCTCCTATGAATGGGAAAGGTGGACACTGAATAAGGAAGACCCAAGAAAAAGCAGTGCATTTGAACTATGGTGTTGGTGAAGAACCTTGGAAGTACCATGAACAAACAGATCTGTCTTGGAAGAAGTACCATCGGATTGCTCCTTAGGGATGAAGATGTCAGGACTTCATCTCATGTACTTTGGACATGTTATCAGGAGAGCCCAGTCCCCAGAGAAGGAAGTAGAGGGGCAGCAGAAAGGAGGCAGGCAGTCAACAAGACAGGCTGACACTGTGGCTGCAGCAGTGGGCTCCAACATTGGAACAATTGTGAGGATGATGCAGGACCGGGCAAGGCTTCATTCTGTTGGTCATGGTGTTACGCCGAATCAGAGCCTACTGGACTGCACCTACCAACACCAGCAACACGAGTTTCGTGTTCCTCACCTGTATCATGAGAGTAATCATGCCTATTTCATCAGGCCATTCCAGAGATTACATAAAATACTGTTTGTGAGAGTACTTTATAAATGCTAATGTGCTATGGATACAAAGGGAATATAGCAAGAGCTACCTGTGGGATCTATGCAATTATTCCTCTATCCCTTCCTGTGCCTTTGTTTCACCTCCTGGAGAATAAGAGGCTTGAACTAGGTGGGTTTTTAGGTTTCATCTGATGTTACATGTCTAGAAAACGTTTGCTAAGAACAAGCTGATTTAGGGCACGTACTACAGGGAATGGCGAGAAATATCAGAGACTAGTTCTGCCTTCTGGAGCTTACAGTTCATTGTAGAACAAGAGAAGAGACACATGTCTCAGGTTTTAGCATTCTAGGGCTTTATCCAGTAGACACGTTTTCTAAACATGGCGGCATGTGGTCAGAGGTGGACATTTGGAGGTCACCTGCTGTGATGTGGAGGCCCATTGGTAAATTTGTTTTCATGAATATGTCTTAGCAATTTGGAACTCTTTCATCTGTTACTGTGGTACACAAAGTTAGAGGTTCAAAACCAGCAGGGCTCCTTAGGAGAAAGAAGAGGCTGTGCGCTTCAGTAAAGATTTACGGTCTTAGAGACCCTACGGAGGGTCACAATGAGCCTCCATTAACAGGATGGCCGTGGATTTGCTTGGGTTTGCTGCGTTAGACTCTTGTTAGTTGCTGTCTGACCATGGAAACCCGACACATGACAGAGCAGGGCTGCTTCCCAGCATTTTCAAGACAGTAACCTTTCAGGATAAAAATCACCAACCCTGCCTTTTCAGGCATCTCTGGGTGGGTTTGAACTTCGAAGCTTTTGGCTAGTCCATGAGTGCTTCATTGTTTGCACCACCCAGTGACTGCACTGGAGGGAATGTGGAGGCTGGGGGCTGGGAGCGGAGGGCGGAGGGCCCTGCGGTAGCAGGGAGTGATGCGCACCTGAACAAGGACCGTGATCAGAAAGGGAGAATAGACACCTACATTTAGGAGATGCTTCTCAGGCGAAATGCAGAGAATGCTGTGGATAATTGGATAGGGCTGAGTTTGAGTGAGGAGGAGTTTAGGTCGATGGCAGATTCCAGTTTGATAGGAGGCGGTGGGGAACATGGGTGGGAGGGGGGCAGCTTTGCTGGGAAAGATGAGAGTTGGGGTTGGGACATGCAGGGTTTGGGGCTTCCAGCAGTCAGTGAGTCCTGGGGTGGTGAAGGAGCAACAATGTTTCATCTGTAGTCAAGCAATGTGAGATCTGATAGAGGGCAGGAAGATGATGTTCCTTTTATTGGGTTCTTGATGCACACAGGGGAGACTTGAGTTAACAGCAATGAATGAGAGAACATGTTATCGAATGTATCTAGGCCTCCAGTTTCTACATCTATAATATGATGCGTGTCAGATTATTTTTAGCTTTATTGTCCCTTTGAAAGTATATGGGGCCCTGGGAGAGTAGCAGTTATGTATTGGGCTGTTAACTACAAAGTCAGCAGTTCAAAACCACTAGCCCATCCATGGGAGAAAGGCATGGCTTTCTATTCCCAAAGAGAATTACGGTCTCAGAGACTCACAAGGGCAATTCTAACCCTGCCCTGTATCTGTGCCCATTGACTTGACATCGCTCTCTGTGCCCATTGACAGTGAGTTTGACTTGCTTTGAAGGAATACAAGTCACTGTAAGATTTGTAATTTGCTTTCATTTCCAAGCCAAGAAAGAAGGGGAGAAAAACTAAGATTTGCTAAGCACCTATGAAGTGCAGCTCAGGTCAACATTGGACTAAAACTTGTTTTCCACATATCCTGTCACGCAGTGCTCATAGCAAGGCGAGGAGGCAGCTCTGCGACCAAGAGATGCAGTGCCCTGTCCGTTGTCATACACTTGGCATGCCATGGCGTTGGGACCAGAGCGGAGTTCCGTTTGTGCTTTGTTTATGGTCGGATGCTCCCTGGAAGGAGACCAGGTGGGCATCAACTCTACAATCCCCTCAGGTTTCTAGGAAAGACCTGCTTCATCCCTGTATCCAAAATTGAGTCATTAGGGAGAGCATCACATAGTTTCCACCATCTCAAATACAGAGTATGTCACTGCAGACAAGGTCATTAACAGCACATCTTTGCTTGGCAAAAGTCCTAAAACAGAGGATGGTATTAACTGCAGGGAAACCCACCCCCATGACCACCCCAGAGACCAGCAAAATCAATTGCCTAGTAAAGTTGGATCTTTAACTAAAGGTCAAAGACACTACTGGAAAGCGCATGTGGATACTTTGAAATGGTTGCATGAGACAGGACGCGCACACCAGCGGGGGGCTTCACGTGCTCTTACTGCTAATTCACCCAGGTTTGACAAAACAATATTGTCTGTGATTTGGCTTCTCCAGAGTGTGTATTTGACAGCCCTGCAGGAGACCCCCTTCCTACTTCTGCTACTAAACAGTTGCACTCTGTTTTCAGCGACTGCCTGCCCAACCCGGGGCCACACAGAGGCGGAGTGAATAAGTAATGCGCACGCACACTATTAAGAGTCGCAATTATTGTCCTCTCTGAGATTTGAAAGCCTGTTAATGGGCAAGATGATCACTTATCGCAGGAACTTGGTGAAAAGTAGTTATAACCACCGGAGTTCTCATTTTTGCACCCAATTTTCATTATGGAGGGGCAATATAATGGAGTAATCAGCTGAATAAATAGTATGTTTGTAAATTACATCGGAGGAGATGTGTGTGTTTTATTAGGAAGACAAAATGCAAATCTAAAAGAAAGGCTAGTATTTAATTGCATCTTTAATTCCTTCGCAGAGCATGCAAATGAAATAAAACAAGCCCGGCCCCTTCAGTCCGGTTACAACCCCTCCCAGGGATTTCTATCAAGACAAATCGGGTGGACATTTTGATGGACTCACTTGGTGACTCTCATTTAGCATCCTGCAAGTTTTTCATTTTGAAAAATTAAACATGTCTATAAAACTCTAACCAAATACACTGTCATTGAGTTGATTCCAACTTGTAGCCATTCTGCCTATGATTTCCAAGTCTGTAAATCATTTACCGGAACAGCCTGCCTCGGCTTTCTTCCAAGGAGCAGCTGGGGGTTTTGAACCACGGACCTTGTGGTTAGCAATCCAACCCTTACTTGACAGTGGTACTAAGGGTCCTTCACATGTCTATAAAGACTCAAAACCCAAACTCTCTGCCATCGAGTCTATTCTGACTCATGGTGACCTATAGGACAGGGTAGAACTGCGCTGTGCATTTCTTTATGGGACTAGGAAGCCGGCCTTTCTCCCTTGGAGTGAAATGTGGTTTAGAACTGCTGGTCTTCTGGTTAGCGACCCAATGCATAACCACGTAACCTACTGGGCTCCTAAACATGTCTGTAGAAGTACAGGAAACAAAATAGCAAACACTCACGTACTCACAATCAGGTTGGTTGGCAATCTCTAACATTTTGACATACTTGCCCCAAGTCTTCATTTCTAAATCATGAAAAACGAAGTCCCTACACCTTTGACGTCTTCGTTTTGCACCTGCCCCGGTTCCCTTTCCCTCCTCGCCTCTTCAGAGGGAAGCGATCCTCTGGAATTTAGCATGCAGCCTTCCCGTCTCTTTGAAACACTTTGACATATGTTCATGTGGCACACTGCTCTGTGTGCCCTTTACTCACACTGTATAAATCATTTTGCCACTTGCTATTGTCCATCTGATTCTTGTTTCTGATTCCCACCTCTGTGGAGGTATGAAACGATCCAGTTTGTTCCTTTCATCTGAATGTGCCATCCTAGGAAATGCATTACATTTGATGTACTCTCTTTCTTGTCAAAGGACAGTCATAGTTTCCAGTGTTTGCTGTTTAAAAACAGTGCCACACTAACCATCCTTCTGTCAGACCTTGGGACACAGGTTCCTTCTGCCTCAGGACTGACCAAGATGCACCTGTCCCCAAGGGCAGGCACTGGTGTGGCCAGCATCAGGACGCATTGCGGGGAGCCCACAGGCCCCAGTCTTTCTAATAGGCTCCTCGGATCAAAATAAAGATGGATCCATCGAGTGTGGCAGGATTAGGTCAGCAGTAAATTGCAAGCCATCAGCTTATATAGATGGGGTGTGTCAAGATATTTTGGCTTTCTGTAGAAATGCCCTGACGCAACAACTTTCTTGTCACACACAATTTGTTAGGCAGCTGCATCCCCTTTACAAACTGCATCCTTCCTCTTTGCTAGAAGGGGCAGTTTCTGGGTGGCAGGTTTTCAATTTCTCTTCTCTCTGTCATTTGCTGTTGTGGATGTGAAATTTAAAGCAACATCTCAAGGCAATGAAGGTGTGGCCCACAGATAAAGCACTGGCATGGGGGCCCAGCAAGTCAGATACACAAGGCCGGTGGAGATGGGGTGATGAGTGGGGCAGAGGCAGGAGAATGAAAGAAGAATGATGGGAGTGGGGTGGGGTCTGGAACCAGAAAAAGAAAAGGGATTGCAACCGGTCCTGTGACTCTTCGGAAGATCTGAACAGTCCATATTTTAAATCCACATTTTGCCCATGGGTTGAATTGCCATGGGCAGTCTCTCTCCAAGCCTCAGTTTCCCTCTTTGTAAGACTGGAAACAATGCCATTCACCGTCACCATGAGGATTCCAGTGGATCTGTCATGAGGCCTCGCTCAGAATGGTCCTCAACCACCATAGCTCTTAGCAGGGCACCTCGGCTGCCATCTGACTTCATTACAACAGGTACCAAAAACATCTCCCTTGGTTGATACCAAGGCAGCAGTACCTGTTCAAGGACAGAGGGTAATCCTTCCAGCTTGGGTATGGAATTCAAATGTGGCCACGTTCATCATGCGTAGAGACTAGAACGCGAAGCCTGGACTCAGGTGAGGGTTTGAATCTCGGGCCTTAGGAAACAGGCATAAAGCTCTTCCACTCCCAAGCCTCTGCTTGCTCATCGCCATGGTGAGAAGAAGGGATGCCATGCCCTGGCCACGTCGCTACAGTTCCCAACCTGCAATCTACGCATCCATTCACACTGCCACTTCCAAGCACAGAGTGAACTTCCTAATAGTTAGTCTATGTTCCTTTGCTCAAAACCTTTCAATGGGTCCCCCTGGCCTACCGGGTCAGATAAAGGTCTTTAGCTGGTACACTAGGCACCATCTGCTGTCCTGGGCCCTGTGTGCCAGAGTGCAACTGCACCCCATAGGGCTTCCAGGGCCTGCTTTGTGGAAGTCGATCGCCAAGTCTTTGTTCGGAGGAGCCTCGGGGTGGACTCCACAACCACTAACTGTGTGCTTAGTCGCCAAGCACGTTCACTCTCTGCACCACCCCGAAATTCTAGCTGGCACACTAGTGACCCCAACCCTGCCCAGGACTTGATTCCGTCATGTGTAGTGCCAACTCCCGACACCCCCTTGGCCTGGCTCAAGGCTGACTCATGTGTACATGAAGTTGCATCAACAAAGCTGCTCTCTCAGACTTCTATGCCTTTGCCAGTGCGGATCCCTCTGCCAGGAGCACATTTTACCACTGTGATCATTTGCTAAACATCTGGGCAAGCATGGTCTTTCTAGCTCCCTCTCTAGACCCCACCCCTTAGTAAAACTGACTCCTCTCTCTTTTGTCTCCTCCCTCTTCTCATACCATCTCCTGCAACATACACCAGGACTACGCCCACCCATTGGCACTCTTATTGAGAACACGTTCCCCTTGGATCTTCCTCGTCTCCATAGCCACGGGAAGGGGCCAGCCATGGAGGTATGGGGCTGCAGGTGCGATGGCTTTGGCTCCCTTAACCTCTCAATTCTAGAGACAGTACCTTGGACTCCGGAGGTTTCTCTGTGTGCATGTAGCACCCAAGGAAGATCTTGGTAACTTGATTATTCCTGAGAGCAAATTATAGTTATGGTTATGGTTATGGTTATGGAGACTCATGATAGTGATGAACCATTAAATGCCCAGTGGGCAGTGCATCTTCACAGTCCTGATCCAAGGAGTGGTGTCCCATGGTCTGAGTTCTCACCAGAGCTGACATCAGAGGGACTGTCCTGTGGGGCCTCCTTGCACTCAGATGATGTACTCAGATAGCTCTTCAGTGCTGAATGCCAGCATGGCACAAACACACTTTCCCATAGGGGCACTCACAAAGGGGCCCAGGAACCCAGAAGAGCTTCACCATTTCATCGTGGGACTGTCTTATGTATGCAGAGGGTCCCCAGAGTGCCAAGTGACTGGTGCAACTTTCCTTGGAGTGCAAAGTTAGCATAGTTTGTGTCTAATGAGAGACACAAGCACATGATAAATATAGTGGGTTATTTCCCCAAACATATATGTTCAAGGCCTAATCTGTGGATGTGTCCTTGTTTGGAAAGAGGGCCTTTCCAGATGTTATCAAGAGGGGGTCACAGTGGGCTTGAGTGGACCCTAAATCCAATGACGGATGTCCTGATAAGAAGCGGAGAGGACACAGCGAGATGTGCACAGAGAGGGTCGTGTGAAGACAGAGGCAGACTTGGAATGACACAGTTCAAAGTCAAGGAATGCCAAGGATTGCTGAGAATCACTGGAGCTAGGAGAGAGGTGTGGACCAGCTTTTCCCTTCTAGCCTCTCTGAAGAGCCAATCTATCACTGCAAGAAAGCTCCTGTGGTTTAAAGTTACCCAGTTTGCAGGGCTTTGTCCCAGCAGCCCTAGGAAACAAGTCCAATGAAACAAATCAGTTAGCATTTCATTGCTGGGACCAGATGAGAACCTGAAGAAGGTGGCTTGCTGAGTCCATACGGGGTGTGTGTGTGTGTGTGTGTGTGTGTGTGTGTGTGTGTGATCTCTATTAAAGAAGTGATGTGAATTGGCTTTTATTTTGCATACATCACAACCCTCCTTTGTCAGAATCACATTGCGGCTTTGTCCAGAATACAGAACGCATAGCCTATTCTCCTCAGAATGACAAAATACATTTAAACATGTCACTTTCTTATAGGAACTTTTGTTGAAGGCAGCCACTTGATCCCATAATCATTTGAAGAGAGTTGTTGATATTATTTTATCAGATGCATGCAAATTGTTTCCAGAGACGTCCCTCATCCGGTAGGCAGACTGCAAGGAGATGGTCAGTGTTAGGTGGCAAGATGTTCCCTGTCACATTATTGACCAGGGATTCATTTGCGACCATCACTTACCTGGAACCAGGCAAACTGAGACAAGCCAGTGCGACCCAGAGAAGAAACAGCTCTACCAGTACCCCCGAATGCCATGTCCTGGGTGTCTTCATGTCCCTACGTTGCAGGAGATCCAGCCGCCATGGGCCCCACACCCGCGAAAGGCCTGCCCAGTGAGTGTCACTGTCTGCTCTGTCCCTTCTGAGCAAACAGTTCAGCAAAATAAACAGCAGGTCGGCAGTGACGGGAAGTTTTGTAGACTTTGCCCAGCTGGACGATGTGGCTCCTGCGACTCTGGAGACCAGTGAGGACAATGGGAACCACAGCCTCTCGGGTTTTGTTCATCTCCTCCCACACTGGGGAAAGCAGCTGACATGAGAGCACAAGCTCTGGGCCCAGCCTGCCTGGCTGCAGTCCCTTCCTCTGCTTCTTCCTAGTGTCGGCAGGTGGTTTTATTCCCGTGCCTCAGTTCCCTTGTGTGCACAGTGCTGTGGTTATTAGCCACCACTGGGGCAACCAACTCGTGGCTTTCCAAATGAACCATTGCCATCCTCGCTTGGGGGTTAGTTAGTTGGGTTCCATGGGATTTCCCATGAGTTGTGGAAAGAGGATCCCCGGCTTCCCAGTCCTAGTCTGTCTTAGTCTGGAAGCTCTGTTGAAACCTGCGCAGGCAGCACAGCAACGCACATGCTTCTACTGTCAGATGGAAGGCAGCTGCACCTGATGTGCACTGACTGGGAATTGAACCCTGACTCTCCCACATGGGAGGTGCGAACTCTACCAGGAAACCACCACTATGAGGATTAAATAAATACGTGGAAGCACGGTGCTTAGAAGAGGCACCGGTTGAGCACCAAGCCGCCCATGCTGGTATTACTAAGCAGAACATAAGGTTCAGAGTCAGACTGGCCTTGATTTTAGGTTCACTTTTGCCTCTTCCTAGCTCTATGATGTTGACTAAGGTGGCAAGGGTCTAGAGAGCTCTGGAGCCCATGCTCTGGAGATTAAATTCTTTCTGTGTCATTCACTAGCTTTGTGATCTGAATCATTACCCTGCCCTTGACTTTCTAAAGCATAGAGAGCATCGTGGAATCCCTCTCATGGGATTGTTGTACTCAGTTTAAGTTGATACAACACTTTCAACAGTAAAGGGAGCCCCGGAGGGTTACTCATTGAGCTGCTAACCTCAAGATCAGCAGTTCGAACCCACCAGCTGCTCCAAGGATGAAAGATGAGACCTCGGTAACCCCCAGGGCAGTTCTCCCTGTCCTGCGGCCTTGCTAGCCGTTGGAGACGGCTTGATGGCAGTGAGCGTGGTTTGTTTGCTTTCATTTTGGTTTTGGGTTCTGCAGAGTCTGGTATATACTCTCTGTTCTCTGTGGTTGTTGGCTGGCCCTGACTCGGAGCTATCCCACGCCCAGCCAGACCTAAAACAGCAGGCTGCTGGTTGTGTACCGTCCCCAAGATAGGTTGCAGAATGGACCACTGTTATCCATGGATTTTCATGGGCTGACTTTCAGAATTAGATTGGCAGGCTTTTGTTCTTAGTCTGGAAGCAACACACAATGCTGTCCATGAGGTGCCCTGACTGAACATCAAAACACAGGAAGTACCAATTCTATCACGGAGCCACCAATATCCCCCTGCTCTCCCCAGAAGAGTGCTGGGATTTTCATTGCCTGTCTTGCATGGTCTCCTCAGGTGTAAAAATTAAGAGGGCTGTGAATTGCACTCAGAGTTGGGAGGGCCAATGAAATACTAAATGTGAAAATCTTTTTAATGTAGAGGCCATGTAAATTGCAACTGTAATACTCCCCCAAATATGTGTTCCTTTTGTTTTGTGACTTATGTGGGTGTTCATTATATGAGGGAGAAATAAACATACAACCTCCCCGACCTTGTTGGGAGGGAAAGTAGAGTAGACCTTGTTTTAAGTGGAGTTAAAATTTGTACCTCCTATTGTTGCTCATTTCTGAAGGGACCACAAATACTTGTCGCTCCTGAAAGGTGCCTGGTAAATGCCTTAACCCTCAGCCTATCTATCACTTCTGCCACCTTCAAGTTCAAAGGAGCCTCTCTTGTCCTTTTTCAAGGGTCAAACAGAGCAACGGCAGGTATCGTTCACAGTGAGTCAAACTTGTCTTCTTGGGTCCTAGAAAAGTACTTCATTGGTCAAACTATTGAGTTGGATGATATGTGGATGAAGTACCAACAAAAATGTTTTTTAAAAATGGAAAGTATTTGACTTTCATTGTCCTGATTAGTTCACCCTGTAGTTGTTATGGGACCACCCAGATGAAACGACATAAGCAAATGTTCAGGAGCCCTGGCAGGGTAATGGGTTACTGTTGGGCTGCTCACTGACATCCGCAGTTTAAAACCACCAGCCCCTCCTCTTGAGACAGAGGCGGCTTTCTACTCCTGTAAAAGTGACAGCCCTGATAGCCCACAGGAGCAGTTCTACCCTGTCCTTTGTGGTCCCTGTGTGTGAAAATCAGCTCGATGGCCCTGAGTTTGGTTTGTTTCTGTGTTAGTCTGGGTACATTAGAGAATCAAATCCACAGAAACGCATGTATAAGAGAGAGTTTTATATAAAAGGTATGTGCACATCAAGAAAACATCCCAACCCAGTGCTGCCCAAGCCCACAAGTCCAACATTAACCCATATGTCCAACACCAATCCATAAAGTCCTCCTCCATCTCACAAAACACACACAATGATGCTGACTGCAGGAGGAAAGCCAAATCAGTGAGTGTGTAAGCATGTCAGTGCTGGCAGGGGTCTCCACACAGCTGCTCTAGCACCCAGGGCTGCATCAGGGTAGGTCCATGTAGCTTCTCCTTGGGGATGTCTTGCAGGAAATGAGCCTTGCAAGCTGAAGCAGGGAACTGGCTAAGGCAGCTGCACCCTGGTCCGACCATCACAAAGCAAAACCGGAGAACTAGAAAGGCGAGGCTCAGTGAGCCATTTATCCCTCTGCCCCTCAATTAACCCCACATGTGTTTATCAGCCAGGTTGGCACAGTAAACTAACAACCTCAGTTTCTAAAACAAATATTCACCTATGCCTAGAAATGATTTCACAAAGCCAGCGGGGGGATGGGCATTTTTGCATAACCATTTCCAGCTCGGACAGGTAGTGCCAGCCCTGATTCCTGACGGGGGCTGGTCCCTTCCTGCCTGGGGATCCCAGGAGGGTGGCAGGAACGAAGCTTGTGCACGCTCCAATATGCAAATGGAAGAGACTTTCAAACTTACCTCCTGAAGACCATCCCTAACTGTCGGGAATCAACAAATTAAAGTCCAACCCTCTCCCTCCTGACTTTTCCAAAACCAGTCTGCAGGCCAGGAAAGAATGCATCACCAAGGTGGATGGCAGTCCCGGTGCTGGCGGCCTTGCAGGTGTAGTGGAGCAGCTTGAGATGGGCGGGGCAGTGGGCAACTTGCAGGTGAACAGTAGGAAGAGCAGAGGCTGCATATGAGACCCTTAAGCAAGCTGTCTAACTTCTTTAAGTACCCTTCCCCTGTCAATGTACTGCACAGCCGTAGCGTTTGTGCTGCTGTGCCACCCCTGAGTGGACAAGGTTCCTGGAGCGTCCCCAGACAGGAAAGAAAGGCCTGACAATCCCTTTATGAAAACTAGTCAGAGTAGAATATTGTTTAATATGCTGCTGGGAGATAATAGCCACAATATGGACTCAACTAAATCAACCATCGTGATGGCGGCAGAGGGCCAGGCAGCATTTCATTCTGTAGCGCACCAGTACAATGTGATGGCTCAGCCATGAATAACCACACTCTCCGTGTGCCTTTGTTTCCACATCTGGGAAATGGGTACAGCAATTCACCAACCCCCATAAGACCGTCAGGGGTGTGAATACAGGAATGCTCCTTTCCTGACCCACATTTGGGGATGCTGGAAAGCTCTGCTATGTCTGCCAAAGGAGCTGGGCCAGGGGTGGGAAAGGCAACTACAGATGGAGAGAAAGCCCACAGCGGATGGCTTTCGCTCACACTAATTGTGCCCCAAACACAGTGCGCAAGTTCTGCTGTCAGACCCTCCTGTTTGCAATCCAGGTGTCATCAGCCCTCCCTGGGACACAGTGGACCTGCCTTTGACACAATTGATTGTGGGAGTTAATCATTCATAAACAAGCAGAAAGCTGGATTTCAAGAGACCTAAATGCCTGCAATTAGAGAAACCCAGAAACCCAGATTTTCCAGGAAATGGGTTCCCTTCCACCACCACCACCGCCCCCATCCTCTTTACGTGTAGAAAACCTGAAAACGCTAAAGGCAGGTACATGGATGAATCATACATTGTGTACGTCATTCCCTCTGCCTCGAACATGTGCCATTTGGTGAAATACGGCTCATTATTGGGTCTGCATCGCAATGTTTTCCCCCGAGGTCCTGGGGTCCCAGGCTTCTCTGCTAGTCAAAATCAGTCACTGCCACCAAGTCGGTGGTGACTCATAGAGATCCTATAGGACAGGGTAGACCTGCCCCTGTAATTTCTGAACGGTAACTATTTACAGGAGTAGAAAGTTACATCTTTCTCCCATGGAAGTGCTGGTGATTTCAAACTGCTAACCTTGTAGTTAGCAGCCTAAAGCTTACCCACTAAGCCACCAGGGTTCTGGGCCCCATTAAGTCACCTGTAAATTCAACCTCATCTTGCCCCCTAGTGGCCACATGTTCCATTCTCCTGAGCCCAGACGGATGGCAGCATCAAGCTACTGTGATAAAACTTTTTTTGTGTGTGTGGACAGCTTTAACAATTTAACACAACCAAGGAGAACGAATGTCATGTAATTAAGGAGACAGAGATTAGAGTGATGTGTCTACCAGCCAAGGGCTGACAGGAAGAAGCAAGAACCCCTGGAGGAGTCTACACCTGCATTCCAGACTTCTAGCCCCCGTTCCACAGAACAGTGATTCAAGCAAATGTGGATACTATCCAATAATATCACCACCAATGCACACAAGTCCAACTTTGCTGAAGATGGGTTGCAGCACTACATCAACAGGGAACTGCCAGAAAGTCAAGCTAGAATCGGAAGAGGACGTGGCACCAGGGCTCTCATTGCTGACATCAGATGGATCTTAGCTGAGAGTAGAGAAGAAAGGAGGCAGAAGGCACCACATACACAAAATGCTGGAGGTGAGTGAATGCATCCACGGAACTATCTTCTTCCTT